AGCACGCCCTACTCCCTGTACTGGGAACAGACCAAAATGGAAGCAGGATTCCAGAGCCGAGGTGGCGCAGTGGTTAAATGCAGCACTGCAGGCTACTGCTAGATCAGTAGTTCAGCGGTTCAAATCTCACCGGCTCAGGGTTGACTCAGCCTTCCATCCTTCCGAGGTGGGTAAAATGAGGACCCGGATTGTTGTTGGGGGCGATATGCTGACTCTGTAAACCGCTTAGAGAGGGCTGAAAGCCCTATGAAGCGGTATATACATCTAACTGCTATTGCTATTGCTATTGCAGTTCAGCGGTTCAAATCTCACCGGCTCAGGGTTGACTCAGCCTTCCATCCTTCCGAGGTGGGTAAAATGAGGACCCGGATTGTTGTTGGGGGCGATATGCTGACTCTGTAAACCGCTTAGAGAGGGCTGAAAGCCCTATGAAGCGGTATATAAATCTAACTGCTATTGCTATTGCTATTCCATCTATGGAGACTTCTAAAAAAAATGAGATTTGAAAGCAGGCCATCCATTCAGTGGTTCCTTTCTATGGAAAGCTTGCCCTTAAAGGAAAATGGATTGCCTTCCCTTGTGATCTTCTGAAAGCTTGTTGAGGCCTATATATTTCAGAACGTCTTTAGACTGCAATAATATTACCATGGCATATTCATTGTGCTGTGTCATATGCAGGGCAACAAAATTTTAGATCCCAATTTTGTTACCCGACATATGACACAGCACCATGAATATGCTATGGTAGAATTATTGCAGGGCTATGCAGTCATTCTTTTTTATTATATTCTTGTTGTTATGAAGAATTGCTGGCCTGTAGACTGTTAATTAGTCAGCTTGATAAAAGAGGTATTGTAGGAGGAGAATGATAGTCTATGATTGAAAACAAATCAAGAATCTGTAGCACCTTTCCCAACTAACAATCTTATTAAGTGCTTTTGGCACTTTTATTTCATGTAATTATTTATTCAATTTCCATAGTGACCGATTTCAATTCAGTTAACTAAGTGGCAAACAATATCATAATAATGAAAGCCATAAAACATTTAAAAAGTTATATTATTATATATTCCTTGTTACATATAATCTATATAAAATCCAAGTGGGATTGGACACACAAATTCCTTTGATCACACTTGGCCAATAAAGAATTGATCTGTTCTGTTCTACATGTATGAAAGTTGTTAGTTGGATTTTATCATAAGCCTTGAAATAAATTGTGCTAGATAGAAAAGGTATTACCAGATTTCTGAATAAAAGAGATGTAAAATTCTTCAGTCATAAATGCATTCTCTGCCATCTATTCCATCTCCCATCACTTAGCCAGAATTTTTAACATTCCCTCTTCCAGGCATCAAACTGAATTGCACATCACTTAATTTTACTTTAAACATTAATTGGGGTGATCCTTGATTTCTCGTTTAATTTTGGTGTGAATGAAACCAAGCCAAACATTTTGGGTATTTTTTTTCCTCATTCGTCACCTATCCACTGCCATTGCAAATTAGAAAATCTATTTTTAAAGATTATTTGGAAGAAAATTAGCTTTTTTTCTTCTATGAAATCTAAATAAATTCCACTTACAATTCCAAATATTCATGTTACTTGCAGAGGAGTGCGTGTGTGTGTGTTGTCTATTAAATGCCTAAGAACAGCCTTGTTCCAAGATCTCTTGTTTTCCTTATTTATTCTTGTCAACATACTTTCAGTTGGAAGAACATCGTTCTGAACAAAAAAAGCTGAAGTATCTGCAGAAAAAACAGGCCCAGCTCATGAAGGAAAAAGACCAATTACAGAGTGAACACAGCAGAGCCATCCTGGCCCGGAGCAAATTGGAGAGTCTTTGTAGGCAACTCCAAAGACACAACAAAACCCTGAAGGTAATGAGAAAAGAAGATCTTTAGGGGAGGTCAGGAGGAAAAGTTACGTTCACTTGACATTCTTAGTTGGTTCACAATAGATTGGTAAGGATCTTTCACTCTTAAATATTGGACATTAGTAGCAACAAAATGGTTTCCTGCTTCTGTCTAAACTGTACTCTGGAAAGAATTAAAAGCTGCTTCTGTATTGTGCCTAATTTAATTTTGTCTCCTGGATACCCACTTTTATCTAAAACAACTGAAGCCTGATTTACAGACATATAACCCAGATTATTCCATTGATATCTCCAGTGGCAATGCATGGAAACTGGTGCTGTTATCATGCTTTTCTTCAGTTTTATGTGCATCAACAAAGTGTGAGGTATATGAGTGGCCCAGTGATGGGATTCAATTTTTTTTACTTTCGGTTCTGTGGCATGGCTTGGTGGGTATGGCGTAGNTAAATAAATAAATAAATAAATAAATAAATAAATAAATAAATAAATAAATAAATGAAATCCAAGGCACGGGAGGAAAATCCCCCTTTCCCCTAATTCCTCCTCCCCTCCCCCATCCTGCCTCCCGATCCATTTGGGGTGGATTTCTTTATTTGCAATAAATCCTGGGTTTTCCCCCCCTTTTTTTTAAAGGAAGGAAAATGACATATCTTCTCCCCCCCTCCCGCCCCCCCCCTCACCAAAGGAGACCGGAGAAAAGCAACCAGATCGAAAGGAAGGGAGATATGATCGGAAGAGCAGGAGGGGAGGGAGGGCTGCAAGCAAGCTGAGTGGAGGGAGGGAAACCACTGCCCTCTATAGGTCACATCGGGAATGACACTTCAGAGAAATTTTAAAAAAATTTAACGGAGTCCTTTTTAAATCGGGACTTTTGGAACACACAGCGGGACACGGGACAAATTTTGAAAAATCGTGACTGTCCCGCCAAAAGTGGGACGTCTGGTCACCTTATCTTAAATAGGTGTTGCTTTAGTAGTAAATAAAACTCAGCTGTATCACCTTGAGAAGCAGACCAGGCCCATGTGAATAACACTATAGTCCAAAATCATATTTTATGATAACATCATACAAAAATCAGTAAACAGATCCATGGACTAAAGCTGAACATTTTATTTCTAGTATTATTTTCTTCCTGCTCCAAATAGCATCTAAAATAGTTTAAAATCACTAACTGGCTTTGCTGCCAACAAATAGACCACAGATTCCACATCACTCTTCCTATTATATCCCCCGTTTGTATATTTACGATAGATGATATTATGGCATGGTGAACAGGTGTGCACACGTGCGCACACACACACACACACACATGTGTGTGTGTAAAGAATGTTCATAAACTTTGTGTTCATATTCATGATAAGACCCCGTATAATTGGTATCATTATATGCAATCCATATGCTTCTACCTCAAGATCTTCTTCAGTACATTTAACCTGCCTTTTCTTAAAAATGGTCAAACCAGGGGATGAGTTGGATTCATACATTATGCTAAGCCATGATGTGATTTGTTTAGTAAAGTAACCATTTAATACAGCAATCCATGGCATATTAGAATATATGAAACAAGAGTTCTTTTTATGTCCTCACTTCTGTGGCTTGCCAGAAATGACTGTGATTGCCTTCTGTTTTATGAAAGATGAAATCACAAGAAAAACTAGGCAATGTTTTCTACCATCTTCTTAACAAAAACTCACAACTGGCTTCTCATATGCAAAGAAAGATTTCCAACTTTAATGAATTTTACAGTCATACTTCCTTTGATATGCATTATCCAAAATCAGAACTCTGAAACTGATAAGATCACAAAAGGGCTATCATTGCAGTTCTTTGAAAACAATTATGTGCTTGTTCAATACCAAGCCAAGTATGTGAAGAAACTCACTTCCTATTTTCAGCCATTGTACTTCATGCTGTTCAGCTATCTTAAACTGGAGAATTCAGTGTACTGTAAATACAACCTGTGATATAATTCCAATGCTCCATCAAGGTTTCTTGCCCCCCAAATCTACAATATAATTGTGGATGGGTATCTATTAAATTTATACAGACACACAAACATACATATCAGTGATGGTATTCTGCCAGTTCTTACTGGTTCGGGCGAACCGGAAGCAGCAGCTGCTGGTGGTTCCATCCACCTGCCATGACATAAAGTGCAACCTTCTGTGCATGCGCGCTCACATTTGCGAACCGGTAGCGAAGGTAAGTGGATCCCACCACTGATACATATCCATATTTCTGTAAAGCAAATTGCTCCCCTGTTCAGTGAGATTTCTGTCTTACTCAGGCATTTTATAGTTAATACAGTGTTACTCTGGATGAGATGCAACTCTAGCAATGCCTTTTTCCTAATACTCAATGCAATATAATTCTGAAAAAGGTTTCAAACCAGGGTAATTATTACCAAGTATTTTTTATACTAAGCTGTAATATTTCTATATGAAAATGATAGATGGGATAATATGACAAGTATTCGTTTAGTGTCCATCTTCCTTTTACAACTCACACAACAGGAAATGATAGCTAATTGGCCAAATCTAGTTTAGTCACTCATACTCAATGCAGTGTTAAGAGAAAAGGGTATAAGCATGCAATCAAATCCCTTGTCTCACCTTATTCTTCTGTTTTAATCCAGCTTCTCTGAACTTCCATGAAATTACTAGCATTCAGAGTTTATAGTTATTTGAATTTCCTTTTACACTGAGCATAACCTAGGGAACTACTATTGTGGTACACATGCAGAAAAGCATTTGTTTCCCTGGAATACACAGATTTTGTTACAATTTCCCGAGGAGTCATTGATTTAGTTTGAGAAAGCATGCAAACAACAAAATTAGAATTGCCATCAGTTTCTATTTTCTTAGGCAGAGTGAACTCTGCTGCAACTGGGTTCATCCAAAAAATGTGTCAGATTAGTTCTTTATTTAAGACAGTGTAACACATAATCCTTTGGTTCAGAGTCACATTTCAAAGTCTTTATAGAATTCATTAATACAATATACACATGTCCATAATTCAGATATATTAGGGTATCCAAATTCACTTCTGTTGGAAACAGGTTTGTACTGTATTAATTCTCTGACTGTTGAAATTGACAAGATCACCTCCTAGTGAGAAATTGCTACCTGATGGGATGAGAAGAAACATGGTTTGCTGCAGATGCTGGACTATTATGCAATTACCACAAACCATATACTGGTAACAGATTAACAGAGATGGAAGGGACTTGGTAGGTCATTTAATCCAACACCCCACCCAAGCAGGAGACCCTACACTATTTCTGACTGATGGCAATCCAGTCTCTTCCTGAAAGTTTCCAGTGATGAAGCTCCCACAACTTCTGAAGGCAAGCTGTTCCATTAGTTGATTGTTCTCACTGTCAGAAAATTTCCCCTTATTTCCAGGTTGAATCTCTCCTTGTTCAGTTTCCATCCATTATTTCTTGTCTGGCCTTCAGGTACTTTGGAAAATAGCTTTATCCTCTCCTCTCTGTGGCAGCCCNAGCTTGGTGGGCGGGCTTGGTGGGCATGGCAAGGGAAGGATACTGTAAAATCTCCACTCCCTCCCCACTCCAGGGGAAGGTTACTGCAAAATCCCCATTTCCTCCAATCAGCTGGGGCTCAGGAAGCAGAGAATAGATGGGGGGCAGAGCCAGTCAGAAGTGTTATTTACCAGTTCTCTGAACTACTCAAATTCAATTTCTATTCCTCAAGAAATAAAATAGTCAATAATGCAACTACAGAAATTGGTCCCAGTCTCATGTTGGCCACTATTAGATCATTGCTCCTTCTAGCTTTAAGATGCCAAAAGTAATGTAAATACATGTGCCTGGCTGCAGATGTGTCCTACATCTAATGTAAGCTAATGTATAATAATTAAAGCAGCATCCAAAGCCCAATAAGTACAGTATAAGCTCAGATATATAACAATCCTTAATCATCCTTCGCTGATTTCAGAAAATTAATACTGGACCTAGCTGATATTTTGTTGGAAAGATACCAAGAAATCATAGGATCATATGTTACATGTAGAAGATTTTTTTAAAAAAAATCTTGGAGGACTGCAATTGCAAACAATTTCCAGAGGACCACATAAAATTATAACGTTTCCACAAATTTCCATGAATAATAAAGTTTTCATGAATAATACTACCTTACCTTAATCCTAGAAATCTGGTGTTTTCTTATACTCCCTTGAGCCCTACACGTCTGGGAGAGAATCAACCTAGAATTAATTTCCTGACTGTTAGAACAATTAATCAGTGGAACGGCTTTGCCTCCAGAGGTTGTGGGTTATCCATCACTAGAGGTTTTTAAGAAGAGATTGGACAACCATGTGTCTGAAATGGTACAGAACAGTGGTTCTCAACCTGTGGTCCGTGGTCCCCTGGGGGGGCCTTGATATCATCACAGGAAGTCTGAAAGGCTTGAAGAAATGTTATGATTTCAACCTTGAATTAAATCTTGGGCAATCCATGGTCCATGGCCACAAAAAGTATTTAGAGGGTCCATGGTGAAGAAAAGGTTGAGAACTAATGTACAGAGTTTTCTTCTTGAGCAGGAGATTGGACTAGGAGACCTCCAAGGTCCCTTCCAACTCTGTTATTCTGTTAAAAGAAACCAAAAGGTAATTTGCTCATTACCATTGGGATAATACTATAATAGTACAATGCTATTGGGGTAGCAGCTGGTGAAGAGGAATAGGAATCTGCTTTTCTACTTCTTTCTGGATGAAGCTGCAATGATGAAGAGGGCTGACTCAATTGTTGCATTACAGGAGGAGACACTTCAGCGAGCAAGAGAAGAAGAAGAAAAGAGGAAGGAGATCACGAATCATTTCCAGGGCACACTGAATGATATCCAGGCACAGATTGAGCAGCAAAGTGAGAGGAACATGAAGTTGTGCCAGGAAAATTCTGAGCTGGCTGAGAAACTGAAAAGCATCATTGATCAGTATGAAGTCAGAGAGGAGGTAATAGCAATGTGACAAGTAGCCTTTGTTTAGCACTGCCTCAAAGAACAATCGTTTGCAGTTACATCTGTGATAAAAAATTTAAAAAGTAACTCTGTGACCAATCCTTTCATTTATAACCCTCACAGGTCTGTAAAGCAAAAGAAAACTGAAGTTAATGTCATAAGTACAATCGCATTTTAATTTAGTGACCACTTCACTAAACAACCAAGTGACTGGTTCCAATTATGGTTGCTATACAAGGATGCCCTGCATTCTCTGGGATGTTTCTCCAAAGTTGAGAGTTATACTTAGTCTTATGGCACTGGAGTAATAGTAACTATCCTTCTGTCCCAGACTGTAAATGTTACAGGTATTTTGCAAATTATGCAAAATCAATAAGCATTTATTCCCCTTGCAATTTCCAACTTTACTAAAGCTAAACAGTCTAAGCTATACTTTGGACTACTAGGGGTTTTGCCTGTCGTCTGTTTTTGTGCATTGTACCTTAATGATGAGTTCTTGAGATGAGTCTTGTTTGGGGATTTTCTTTCATCTCTTTCCCAAAGAATAGAGCTATTAGTGTAGTTTTGTTATGTGTTCTTCCCTTCACTGCAGCTATCATGCCATAGAACTTTTATTCTGGTCTCAATCCTTGTAGTTTAATCATTCCATTTTGTTTGTATTTAAACAACTAATGTATTTATTCAACAAGTCTGAGGATCAGTAAGTTAATTGAAGCCCATGAGGTGTTGTTTTATTGCTGATTGAGTTTGCCTCCATTATAAGTTTTTATATGGTTGTAGTTTGATGTTTATTTTGGTATTGTGCTTTTTATGTAATGTTAGTCACCTAGAGTTGCTATGGTGAAATGTGCAGCCATATAAATTGAATAAATAAATATATCCAGGAAAATAAACATGTTTGGAATGCTACAAATGAANCCCCCCCCTTCCAGCATCTTGATAAAATATTTAAGCACAGGGAACTTCAGCAGAAACTGGTAGATGCCAAGTTGGAACAGTCACAAGAGGTTATGAAGGAAGCTGAAGACAGGCATCAGCGAGAAAAGGAATATGTATTCATTTTTTCTTTAGTTGTTTATGTATAGTTTGTGTTCACGTCTGAAATGTTGTTTGTTTGCTTGTTTGTTTGATATCGTGTCCTTTATTTTTTACAACTCAAGTTGTAAAATATTCCTGTCTTCTATTTTATCCACATCAACTTTCTGAGGTTGGACTGGGGTAGAATGACTGGCCCCAAGTCGCCCAGAAGGCTTTCATACCTGAGGCCTAGAATTGATGGCCTCACACTCTCTCTCTCACACACACACAGAGCAATGAACTCATTTGTCTTGATATTTGACATTTTTCCTTAGGACAGGGGTGTCAAACTTGCCATAGCATGCCTTCACGTGATGTATCGCAACTTTCCCCCCCTTTGCTGAAATGGGGGGTGGGCATGGCCAGCGCGTGCAACCGGCCTGCGGGCCGCAGGTTTGAGATCCCTGCCTTAGGAGTTCTAGGTGTACCTATAGTCTTCCATTATTTTTTCTGGAATTTTGTGATTAGTATTAGTTGAGTTAAGATATGATCTATCCAGAGATTGCTTAACTCCATAACTGAGTAATGATTTGAATCCATATTCTTCCTATCCAATCTACTATCGGTTGTTCTCATTTAACATGCTCAGCGACCATTTGAAATTATAATGGTGCTGAACCATTATATGATACTTATGAAATATCCTTGTACTTAGTTTTAATAGATCCATTGACAAGCTGTCTATTTTTAAATTAAAATATCTCAGTAGGTTATGATTCAAAAATTCATTTGAATGTTTAACAGATTTTGCAATAGTATCTACAGCATAATATATTCTTTGCGGCATACCAAATGAGGAAAAAGCTGATCATTAGATTTTATATCAGCCCAAAATGCTTTTGCTTTGAAATTGCTTAAAGTTGCATTTTGCATTAGCAGCAGAATAACTCTGCTGCCACCTGGTGGCCTTCATGTTTATTTGCTGCTTCTTGGCATGCAATCCAGCTCAATTCTCCTATAATTTAAAATAATTTTTAAAAGTATTGATCATATTTAAAACATATGTAATGCAAAGCTCAAAGATTAAATATCCTTTAACCCAAACTTTGGTAAATATTGTTCAGTAGAAAAAATTCCTTTTCTACATTTGTTTAAAAATTTATTATTTCCCAGATCCCTCTCACACAGAAACAATTTTAATTTTTCATTGCAAAATGGTGTGATTATATGATACACTCCAAGAAGTAGGTGAGGACAAAATAAAAAAGAAACTGATTCAATATAAAAATTAAAACTAATTTTATTTACATTAAATTAAGAGCATATTACTTAAATGTACCGTAGTTTATAATTAACCACTTCCATGAATATAATTTCCTTCAATTCCAATGAAAAATTACAATCTAATGTGAACTTCTGGGAGGGACTCCAACACAGCCAATATTTTTCACCATCCACAGGCTCTGGAGGCTTTCCCCACCCTGCGGAAGACCGAAAATCAGCTGACCAGCGCATGCCTCAGATATGGCTCCGAGTGCCACCTGTGGCACGCATGCCATAGGTTCGCCATCATGGTCCTAGGGCAACACCTTACACTTCTGATCCACAAGTTGCATTAGTTGCCAGTTTACTTCCAGGTCCAATTCAGAGTGCTGGTTTTAACCTTTAAAGCCCTTCATGGCATAAAAGCAGGTTACATGAGGGACCACCTCTGCCCATTTGTATCAGCCCATCCCATTAGGTCACAGAGAGAAGGCATGCAGTGGATACCTTGGCCAGAAAATTACATTTGGTAGATCCTAGGAGATATGCCTTCTCTGCTGTAGCACCTGCAATACAGAATATCCATTCCTCCTGATTGGCGCATTCCTTTTGATTTTTTTGAACAGCCTTCCAGATTTGGTTATGGTGCCAAGTCAGCAGCTGCTAGAGAATCAAACATTTGTCTCAGTAACTTCACTGTTGAGGGAGGCCATTTTTATCCTCTCTTCTATTGAGCATAATACTATGTTTAAAATCCACAATATTTTTGTTTGTATGTTTATTACTGTGGATTTGTTTTTAATCTGCTATTCTATTGGCTATTTTATCTATTCTTTTGTGCCACCCAAAGTTCCCTTTGGTGAGATGGACAGCTATATAAATTTAATTAATAAATAAAAATGAAATAACATTAGCCCTTCTTTATTTCTAGGAGCAAATAAAAACAACCAACTGCATTCAGGAATTGTATATTCTTTATGAGTTGGCTTTCCCTTCCATCATATTTTATTAATAAAAGCACCAATACCAGCGCAGAACTTTTCTGATTTGGAAGATAACTCCAGGCGATACAATTCGCTTTTAAAAATAAATGTTAATTGAAAATATTGCTTTGAACAGTTGCTTTTATTACAAATAGCTCCCAGATTTGTCTTGTAAATTAAATGTGTCAAGTTGAGCTGTAGAGTAGAGAGGGCAAAATAAAACTCATTAATGAGCCAGAACAAATTACACATAGAAGCAGTTTCTGCCTCATCTGTTCTATTTGGTTATGGCAGGTAAAAACTAATTCCAGTTGAAATAGGTGGCTATGCGGCTCTGGCAAAACATTAAGCATTATCAAAATGTGGATAGTTTGCAGGATTAAGAATTAAGTCTGAAATTTAGATCTCAGAATATTTGTCACCCCACTTTAACAGTCATTCCCTCTGCTTTGCTATCAACCTCACCACGCTACATGGATTTTATTTTAATCTTTGTTGTTTCTCACCAAAGCATGGAGGATTTTAAAAGGACAACGTTCTGAAAACCTCATGAAAAGCCATATGAGGATTTTATTAGATTTATAGCGCTTATTTTAAAAAACATTGCCTAGAGGTGAAGACACTCATCTCCCATTTGGAAGGTTGAGCGTTCAATCCTAGGTAGCGACAGATGTTTCTCTATCAGGATGTAAAGTGTAAATAGCTGCTGAGAATTCAGCATAGGTGTCAGGAAGGGCATCTAGCTAGTAAATACTCAGCTTCATTCAGTCGCCCTGACTCCACCCCGATAAAAAGGGATTACAGGGCCATAAAAAGAAGAAAGAAAGAAAAAAGACTATACTATGTTACCAGAACAAAAAGACTTGTTTAAAAAAGTAATTTCATATATTTTTTGGATTCCATTCATTTCATTAGATATTAATCAAACATGCAATATTTTACAAATAGCAAAGATTTGCAAAGATTTTTTTAAAATGTGAATTACTTGATCTTTCAAATATTGTATGCATTCTTAAATCCCAAATAGCTACTTACCCAAGCAGCAGAATGGAAACTACAGACAAAAATGCTAAAGGAACAAGAGACTGTTCTCCGGGCTCAGGTAAAATAAGGCCATTGTTTCTATTATGTACTTTTTCCAACTGGTCCTGTTCAACTTATTAGCTGTGTAAAAGTGGATAAAATATAGCTAATCTTATTTATGTTCAAATCCTCTGAAAGTATACGGGTAGCATGCAGTAGATTAAATCGTTATGAATTATTACCATGGAGCAGTCCATACCTTTTATTGGAAACTGTGTTTGGATATCGCAATCTAATTAACCTGGAATTGAGAAAAATTGAGGAAATTTGACTTATTTTTCTTGTCTTTCTTCCATCTATTCCTTTTTATTTTAAAAATATTTTCTCTTAAAAAAAAAAAAAGATTTAAAGCCAGCATGCGCTACTCTGTTTCATGTCTAGAATGAATTCATGAAATTCAGCAAATGTTAGATGTTTACCATTTTTTACCATCCATTTTTATTATTAAGGAATATATTAATTTATGGAATAAACAACAAGCATTTGAGCCAACCTATGCTATAACAGCTACAACAACAGAGGTCAAAGAGTAATTGAAATTATGCAATGTTATAGCAATAGCAGTTAGACTTATATACCGCTTCATAGGGCTTTCAGCCCTCTCTAAGCGGTTTACAGAGTCAGCATATCGCCCCCACAGTCCCGGTCCTCATTTCACCCACCTCGGAAGGATGGAAGGCTGAATCAACCTTGAGCCGGTGAGATTAGAACCGCTGAACTGCAGATAACAGTCAGCTGAAGTGGCTGCAGTACTGCACCCTAACCACTGCG